GAATTTTTTGTTTGGTGATAAGACTTGCGCTTCAAATTTTGAAGTGAGAAATACGACTCCGGGACTGACGCTAGCTTTGTTGGAGCATGTCGATATTGCATTCTGGCTGCCAATCATCCTTGGTTCAACTGTAGATTTCCAAATTTATTGTTCATACAATTGTGACATCACATAACATATTAGAATGAATCATAATTCATGATGCATCATGCCTTATAATTAGCCTGATATATTATTACTAGTATATTAATCTTATGGCATACAAGGTGCAGGTGAATGGCTTTGGCCTTATGGCCCACCTTATATCATTCTCTTTGTATTATCTCTTAAAAATCACATGGAATGAATGTTCGCTTTGAATGAATTATGTAACATATCGTTACTAAATCCAGAAATTGATTTTTTATTAAAATAAATCTTAAAAAAGATCTCGACCAAAAACTTAAAAAATGCAAAATTTGATGGGCACATTATATTACCGATAAAGAATAAACATTGAATAGAAAGGGCACAAGCACTGGCCTCAGAAGGAAAACATGATTAAGATGACACAGGTCACGTACTGTTTATAATATTTGATAATCTCGCAAGGCAGTATAATGATGATACTTTGATCTTTTTAGCTTTTTGTACTCGTATTTTCCAATCAATCATAATTCCCAGATATGATCTCATAATTCAATTTCAGAGACAAAAAGCAGGGTATCCAGTAATATAATTATATTTTCATAAAAGACATGTCAAACCACCTCTCTGTAAAACCTGTCTTTGAATGTCACTGGATCTGGCGAAAGTGTTCACATTAACAGATGTTCACATTTCAAGTTTTTAACATTGTAGTCAATGGGAAAATACAAAATTGTGATAGAGAAAAAGTGTTTACCCATTTAAAGAAGTCTGATTAAAGAGTTTTTCCAATATTCTGACATAATTTCAGGTTGACTGTAACAGACTAATAATCCACAAGAAGAAATATATTACTTTGGAGGATCACTTAGCCCCTTGAGTTCTAATGATATAGATTTGGTTTGGAAACAACAGGCCGGATACAATGTCATTTGAACCTTTCAGCAGTTTTATTTATGTAGCGAAATTGAATTATATCGAGAATTATGCATTTGTGAGAGAGCATCGATGTTTATGATTTCAAAGATTCTAATAATGTGGATAGACAGGTAGGGGAGCAGAGAATGATGGGTAATTTAGATTTATAGATAAATATCTGACTATAAATATCCACAAATTTAAAGACGTGTCGCAAAAAGGTGGCGCATTTGTTTTTTAGGGGTATCGCGTGAATGTAACTTTGATTCCCCGGATTATAAAATAATATTCTAATTAAAGTTGTATATCATTTTAAAGCTGTTTCGATGAAGTTTTTGATCAACTACACTCCGTTCACAATTCTTGCGCGTTCTTTTTTAAAAAAGAGTTTTTTACCAAAACATCTGGCAAATATTCCCTGTTGACACGTTACATTTTGAATTATTTTTCGTCTTTAAACGCTCATAACTCAAACAATATATGACTATTATACTTATTTTTCGTCTTGATAAAGGTAGATAGAAGTTTTATTTCAAAGGATGAATTTTAGTAAGCGTCCCATATTGTGACGTCATAGAGTTTGAAAAATAGAATCTGTTGACAGCGACCTTTTCTGCTCATTTTTTTGTTCCTTCAACTTTTCAGGTGTACATTAAACAAAAAATACGAGATCAATTTTTAATAAATCATACATGATTATTTTGCTCCTAAACTCTAGTTTATTAATAAATAGTTGATTTTGTTCGCAAAAGTATGTGTTTTCTGTTGTATGTGGAAAAGTGGAGGACGAAAGGTTTTCAAAATTCATCAAAATAGGGCTAATTTACGCCATTCGCCTATTTTCAAGCACAGCAACACGTATATTTATTTCACCTAAAATATCAATTGATTCGTGTTTTATGATGCTCCTAGCCCATTAACAATATATATATGATATCAGAGTTATTCGTCTAAAATGTTTTGAGATAGAGAGGTAAATGTGGAGGACGAAAGGATTTTCATTTGTGTACATTTTTCTCAAAAACGTCACATTCTACCATGTTAAAAGCGAGGATCCTCTGGATTACGCCACAAAATGTGTAACAATGCGTACGCGAGCTTTTTGCGATACATCAAAGATGTATTCCACTCCAACTTGAATATATTGTTATTGCAAAGAAAGTAAACATCTGGGCGTGCTGTTTCCTTTAATCTGTTTTGAGTTTGCATTCCTCTTTAGTGTATATAGCCAGATGTAAAAATTGTGAACATTTACGCTGTGCCTAAAACCATTGAAAATGTGATAATAAATATCTAAAAAAACTCTATTCTACTTTTGATTAGTAAAGCCAACCTTAATAATTCTGAATATTTTCTGATTTATTTTATTGTTTTTATGTCTTTTCTATTTCCTAACTATAATAAGTCTTGAAAATAAATCATTGTTTTCTTTGAATTATAGATAGCATTCTTCTTCCAGAATAGTTAAATCTTCATATTTTTGTTTCTCTGCTTAAACATGAAAGGAATGCCTCATTTGGGTGTTATTTATATTCTTGCAGCTATACTCAATTAGACTTGTTCTTTTGGCCTCATGTAATTTCACCGTAAATCTGTAGAAAGGGTCATTATTCTTGTATTCGTTCAGAAATAATAGAACATTTAAATCTCCATGTCCAAAAAACCTGTGTATGAGAACATCAAACTCAAAAATAAATCACTTCTCGGTCTTTGGATTTTCTATGACTTGAATGAAAAGATTTACTTTAAATGATACCTATTATGCATTAGGGTAAAATTGCTTCATTACATTACAAAGCGTTTTGTCCAAAATCTTCATAGCGAAGGATTTTTGAGGTGTTTCGAAGGCACAAAATTCTTTGTCGTGATTTTCTTTGTCAAAATACAGGTGAAATTAACAGGTATCAGGAATAACGCCTCTTTACATCCCTATAGTTGGGTTAAGTCCATGTGATATCAGGAAAACTTCTAATGCATTGCTATTCATGTCACCATGCTTTTCACTTTTACAGAATTGAGGAAATAAACACGTAGCACCACCCTTAGGAGATACAGTATTTGAATTTTTATGACACATCGTTACACATCTTTAATCAGTTTTGTAATATTGATTGATTGTGAACAATATCAGTGTTTTTCTGCTTTATGTGAGAGTAATGGAAGGTTTAAAGTACAATAAAATCTGTGTGGATGAACATTGAATATTTGGTGAAGAGAAGTATGTCGCTATAGGAAGGCCTATTTTACAGAATTTTACCATATTTAATATCCATTTTAACGTCACTTTATGGCCAAAATCATGGACCTATGGAGATCTTTCACTTCACATATTCAAAGTAACGTGACATATACATCAAAATGATTAAAATTCAACAAGTGAGTCACTGGGACAAAATGGTTACTGTGAAGTTGTTCACTGGGAGAGAGAGATAGAGATGTTCACCAACACGAGTTTTACAATAATTGTAAAGGAACAATGACTTCAGCATACCAAATATGGAAATAATGTAGATTGTAGTACAAGAGAAAATGATAAGTACCGTAAAGACAATTAATTTCAGGCAAAATAAAAGGTTGCATAAGGAAGTAGGGTTAAATGCCGTTTTTAATGATTATTTCCAGTTTGATGATGAGAATCTCCATTAGCGCATTGTGTGTTAATGCCCTGGCATAATTTCTACATTGAATTATTCATGAAATGTTCAGTTTTATGTATGCTACTTTACCGCGCATCTACTATCATTCAGTCCAGGTTATAATTGCACCTGTGATCTCCACAGGATTTTTTTCCAAGTGGGTGCAAAATTTTCATTTTCACATTTCAGATTAAAATTAGTCAAAATATCTTTTTTTCATTTTCAAGTGGGTGCAAATGGATTTTCAGGTGGGTGCAAGCCTATTTTCAAAACCTCAGGTGGATACTGCACCAACTTGCTTTAATGCTGGGGAGATCACTGAGAACACTGAGGATTTGAGAAATGGGTATCTCTTTTATAAATATGGCTGCATAAGAGTCTTGTTCACACATGGATCGGATTTTTTCTGTCATGTTAAAAGTTCAAACACACCTAAAGAATGCCTGAAGAATTAATGCCATATTGAAATAACATGTTAGAACAAGAACTAAAAAAAGATTTGTTAAAATCAGAATCAGATCAAGCCAGTAACTTTTACAATTTTTTTTCACCTCAGGTTATTTATTCATTATTGTATTGTATGACACATTATTCCATGAAACCTGGAGATTTTTATTTTGTTTATTTGTGTATTATTCTATAAATGTGGATATCCTCATTAATTATTTGATGATGACAATTTTTCATGTCAATGATTTGTTATATCAGCTTTGCTATCTAGCAGGACCAAAACATGACTACAAAATACCATATATACTTTGTTAATGCATTGATGAAAAAAATTGGGCCCAAGACTTTTTCAAAGGCCCGTTTAATGGGCTTTTTTAGGCTTTATTTTTTAATTTTGGGCCAAATTATCAGGAAAATAGGCCTTAAATTTTCAAAAGGCCCCACTTTTTGGTTTTAGGGGCCCAAAATCTTTTCCACCCCTGTTTCTATAAAACACCTTCTGTTTCTCATAGAATGGCCAAATAATATCATTTTACAACTCTCAGTCTGCCCATCAACATGCACACAGTTTCTACTTTTCTACTGTCTGACTCCATGGAGAAATGTTTATTAATTTTCCAATGAATCGGTCAACAAAGGGTTAAAGACATGAAGAGAACAGATGATGTATCTGGCATAACCATACAACAAGCAGGAAATAAATATTTACAGACATGGGTTTAAGCAGCATCTAAGTGAGACGAGGCAAAACATAGTTGGTGAGGCTGATTGAGGGGGAGGTATATAATACTACATTTGAACTTTATTTTCACAGCATACATCGGGCACTTGCCTTGCGTGATTGGGCAGTTGCCCCGCGTGCCTCGGGCAGTTGCCACGCGTGCCTTGGGCAGTTGCTCCGTATGCCTCGGGCACTTGCCTCTCATGCCTCAAGCACTTGCCTCGCATGCCTCAGGCAGTTGCCTCTCATGCCTTGGGCACTTGCCTCGCATGCCTCAGGCAGTTGCCCCGCGTGCCTCGGGCAGTTGCCCCGCGTGCCTCGGCAGTTGCCCCTCGGGCAGTTTCCTCATATGCCTCGGGCAGTTGCCTCGTACGCCTCGAGCACTTGCCTCTCATGCCTCAAGCACTTGCCTTGCATGCCTCAGGCAGTTGCCTTGCCTGCCTCATGTCTAGTTAGCTCATGACAGAACATACATATGTACAACTAATTCAAAGTCAGCCCTCAAACATCACTCTTGTCATTATGATTTTTATTATTCAGAAATGCTGTCATTTCATGTTCAAGTTTTGATGCATGCTTCGTTTCACTTGAAATACTGTCTGCGCTATACTTGGAATGATCGTTAATATTTGTAATGACCGTACGATTGCCACAATTATAATCGGGCTTCAGCTCGCCTTTTTTCATGTGAAACATGCGGTAAAAACTTTTTCGGATTTCAATAGTACGATAGCCATAGATGAGGGGATCACTCATGGCGTTCAAGACTGGTAGATTCACAAACAAATAGCGGTACACATACTGAACTTCTGTTATACAGTCGAACAATGAAGCACGCAAAATACGAAATACCATATAAGGTAAAGAACATGCAAGTAACGTACTAGCCATGATCAACGTTGTGCGGAGGGTTCCCTTCCCTTTAGGTCTTGCCATTAGGTTGTCCTGTATTCGATGATAGAAAGTACAGTACAGTGCAAGGATGATCACGAACAACAAGATACAGAACATATAGAAAGAGAGTAACATCCCCGGATAACAAAGAGTAAAACTTTCATCAATTTTATGACAGAGAGCTGTTGTAATTGTTGTCAAGGAGATGAGCCATGTGATGCCTATGACGCCAAATGTTCTCCACCGATTCTCATTGCCTTCCATATTGGTGAAATGAGCCTGAAGAGGGTACTTGACGGTATAGCATATTATAGCTGCAATGCTCATTAGTGTTAACCCCGAGTTTGTGTATGAAACAAAAAACAGGATACGCCCAAAGTTTCCTAATTCTGCACTTGAACTCACATTCCAAAAAAATAAATTGTCAAAAAATCTTGATATTACCACAATGATGTCAGCTATAGATAAGTTGATGTAGAAGAAATGCGTATTCTTCAATGCCGGGAGTTTCAGAATGGCGGCAATGCACAGTATATTACCAAGTAATGCTGGGATACCTATTACCACCAGGATGCCATATATAACATAAGGTAAGGCGTGATCTTTTGCCAATTCCTCCCCAACTGTACAATATGAAGTGTCATTAGTGATGGTGGTGTTGTTGGATGCCATGGTTGTATCCTTTAAGCTATATTGCGTATGAGTGTCCAAACTTTGAGAAATAATGCAAGCTTGAATAGTCTAATCATTGGAACATGAATATTCCATTATTTATGGCAGGCCAGGGTTTAGAATGGGAGTAGTTCAATGTTAAGAACTTGTAGTTTAATATTTAGAATGGTAATAGTCTCATGATCAGAACAGGAATAGTCTAATATTTAGAGTGGGAGTAGTCCAATATTTAGAACTTGAGTTGTCCAATGTTTAGAACTTGAGTAGTCCAATATTTTGAGTAGTCTAGTTTGTCGTCAGATGTTCAGAGCTTGAGTGATAAACCTTTCAATGAAACTTCGAATTTATGCAATGTTAACGAACAATATGAATATTCAAAAGTTTACTTTTTAGCATCGTCAAATCGATTTCATGCTATCCTTCTTTCATTAAAGTGCTCAGAGCAATCCTATGTTTCAAGAATTATATAGTATGTTCACGAGAATATTGTGTTATTTGTAACAATGATTTATTTCGTCTCCCGAGGCTTAGATAGAATCACAAAATTGTAATACATTATATCAGTTTGTAGTTCATTTAGTGTTCCAGCTACTTAATGCAGATTCTTTCCTCTTAGTGAGTTCCTGTTTTATTTGGATGATGTTTTGATGGAAATTATGCCCTTCGCTTGAGTTATTGCAGTATAATACAGTATCATTCAGACTCAATTCGATAGGATTAACATTATTAGACATATGTATCAGCATTTGAGTCCTGTTTGGCGACAAAATTTAGGCTGAATTGCTATTTATAAAGGATCTACTTCTTTTTGTAATATCAAGGATAAAGATTAGAATCTAAATTGCTATTTACCAATGTTATTTCTTTAATAAACCCAGATTAACTTCACAAAGTATCAGAACTTTGCTATTAATAAAAGATATAAATCAATGGTGTATTAGCCAAGATACTACAGATTTAGGATAATTAAATTTGTAGAAATTAAGCTTCATGAGGAATTAATTTTTGTTCAGTCTTTCCTCTTGAATACTGTGTTATATTTCTTAATCTTGAATTGTTGACAGTTATTCTACCTTCAATGTTGATATAATCCCGGACCCTTAATATTTATCCTGGACTGTTGATATTTATCCTTACTGGACTATTCCAATCAATTCTGGAAGTCAATATTTATGGACTGTTGAGATTGATCCTTCTTGGACTGTTGATATTTATCCTTCCTTGACTGTTGATATTTATCTTTTCCAGACTGTTGATATTTATCCTTCTTGGACTGATGATATTTATCTTTCATGGACTGATGATATTTATCTTTCCTGGACTGTTGATATTTGTCTTTCCTGGACTGTTGAAATATATCCTTCCTTGACTGATGATATTTATCTTTCCTGGACTCTTGATATTTATCCTTCCTTGACTGTTGATATTTATCTTTCCCAGACTGTTGATATTTATCCTTCCTGGACTGTTGATATTTATCTTTCCGATCCTGGACTGTTGATATTTATCTTTCCTGGACTGTTGATATTTATCTTTTCTGGACTGTTGATATTTATCCTTCCTGGACTGTTGATATTTATCCTTCCTGGACTGATGATATTTATCTTTCCAGACTGTTGATATTTATCTTTCCCAGACTGTTGATATTTATCCTTCCTGGACTGTTGATATTTATCCTTCCTGGACTGTTGATATTTATCTTTTCTGGACTATTGATATTTATTCTTCCTTGACTGTTACTATTATCTTTCCTTGACTGTTTTAAGATTATATCAGCAGTAATTAATTGACCCCAGCCTCATCTGAAAATACAAATATAATGTGATTATAAATAATATTTAATTATTTTTCAATTATTGAGGTAAATATTGGGGTTATCCAGCAAAACCATTATAGCTTTGGGATGAACATTTTTTCAAAAATAGTCTAGGTTTGAATAAGGAAGTCTCTGAGATGTATTTTTACCAATTTTGACCTTGAAATAATCTTATTTTTCGTAGCTTATTATTATGGATGGAACTGATTTCCACCAGAACGTGATTTTCACCTTGATGCAAGTGATTCACCTCGGTGCACATAGTTTTCAGTTCAGGTGATTCCTGACTGATTAGAACTGTTAAGGACTTCATGAACTTTTTCTGATTATATGAATAAGTCAATCTGACATCAATGTGAACTGGCATCTAACCATTCATTCAGTGACACTATAAAAACAGATACAAAGGCCGATCCAGAAGTTCTGATAAATTGCTGTATCCTTTTCTTAAGTAAAGGAAATCACCTGAAATGTTTACACAATTTACATAATTTATGTGCCTATACAGCAGGGAATTTTCAGAGTGATTGATCAACAGAAAATTCTAAATTCACACTTTTACTACCCCATGGTAGATGCACTAATGGTCCAGGACTTGAGCTCATAAGTTTTTTCAAATATGTTACATGAACCTGAAATACTTCAATACATTGTATTATACCAAAATTGCAGGTATTTGACCAACAATCTGTAAAATTTCGTCATAATCTTTTATAGAATCATTTTGATTTATTGATTTAGTAAACCCTTTACTTTTACAATACCTTGATCAATCTATGATTTGAAGAGTCAACCTTGAAACTGTATTTCATAAAATTACAAAACAATCATGCTTCATCAATTGAATGACTTTTGTCCCAATCTGATATCACAGTAAAAGTTGCTTCTTCATTGAAGTCTGCAATTTGTAATATTCAAATGAAAAATTTATATTTTTGAAATAGGATGTTGTCTCATGCAACTTGAGCGGAAATAATCAAACACATAAATTGTTTGAAATAAATTGCCAATAATGATTTGGGAAAATGTATTTTATTTGTTTGAAATTGTTATTCTATGAACATTCTATAATAAATTTGTTATTCTATTTACGTTGTATTTTGTCTCTTTGGTTAATCTCCGTTTTATGTTCATTTCATTCTACCATATTGATATGATCATTTTTCCTGGATGGCAATCAAATCGTAGTAAAATAATTTATTGATGATTCTGGTAAAATTATTTTTGTAATGATAACCCATTGTCTATGATCTCTTTCGGATTACACATCAACCTTTTTACTATACTAGTATTAAGGCATGTGGCAAAAGCAGCTGGTGGGAAACTTGTGAATTTCTTTTGAAAATATATATAAACGGGTGAAAAATCAGGTAGATACCTTTGCACAATCCCAAAGGGAAAAAAAATCTTCCAGAACGCAGTAAGCAAAATAAAGCTAAATGTACACCAGTCACAAGGAAAACAAACTCCATTTAACCCAAATTATAATCCAATATACGAGGGGTGATCCAAAAGTCTTGGACGCCCTGCTCTAACTTTGCTATTTTTTAGTATAACCACATGAAACTTTCAGATAATAAAGATCAACATCTTAACAACTTTATGTATAAGTTTCAACAGAAAATAATATATTTTAGCTACTTTTCTACATATCTTTTAATACCGGGTCCCTGCCACCCGGAACGGTATATAAATATAGCAAATCACGTCACAACTGTTATAATATGGCAAATACTTTAGGTGCATGTGCACAACCTAACACCAGCCATGATATGAGAGACTTTTCGATTTTCAATCTGAGTGTCATCTGCCATCATCATCTTCACATATTAAGACATACTTTTCAACATATTTTCCACGAATTTGAACACATTTTTCAAACCACTTTACCAATGAATGGAAGACATTTATGAAACCGTCATTGCTTATGTGATACAAATGCTGCTGGAGTGCTACTATAAACCTCATTCAATGAGTAAAAAACATTTTCTTTCAACCATCCTTTCAACTTGGAGAAAAGGAAGAAAATTACATGCAGCCATAGATAGACTGTATCGTGCATATGGTAGCTGCTCAAGGTCAATAATAGTCAAAATATCTTGTAGTATTCTTTGTTCCACTTTGATTTCTTTCGTGTTCTGCATTTCAGGAACCATCTTGCAGCAAAAATGATACCAGAATGAGGGTTGCTTGTCTAATGGCATTTTCTTAGAATTTGACATGTGCGGCCATTGTCATATGTGACATTATAATTAAAACACAATTAATTGGTTGCCTACTAAACTAACATGGTTTAACATTCAAAATTCAAAAAAAATAGTGGTCAAGACTTGCGAAACAAGTGAAATGGCGGTAACATTTAAGGCTGAAAGTTGCCATGTGCGAATACCGTTCCGGGTGGCAGGGTCTCTGTATTGAAAACTATCTAGAAAACTATACAAAATATATCATTTCTCCATGAAATTAATACACAAAGTAGTTAGGTTGTTGGTCTTTATTATTGGAAAGTTTAAAGTAATTTTAACGAAAACCAACAAAAATAGAGCAGGGCGTCCAAGACTTTTGGATCACCCCTCGTATAAAGAAACAATGTGTAATACCCCCCATTCCCCACCATTCGAGTTCCATTATCACAAACCAGGACCATAACACCAATGGACATTTCATTCATTTTGAGTTTGCTTTAAAGTAAGTAAAGTTCACCATTTTTTCAGATGAGAGATTGATTATCTTGCAGTTGATATAATACAGCTTTGGATGTTAGCTGAATTTATTGGAATGAGAGGAAGCAATGATAGAGATTAAGTGCTTCATAATTATTCTCATGTAATTGTTGCTCTATTTTTTGTGATAATTTATATTATAGTAAGCTGGTAGTATGCGGGAGGGATAAAAATGTTAAAACATATACAGTAGTAACTGTCTAAGTGGAACATATTTTGTACTTCGAAAAAAGTGTTCCATTTTCGATGTGTTCTATTTATTATAGAGGTTTATTTATCATTAAGTAAGTTGGTCTTTGGACACTGAAAAGTGTTCCACTAACAGAGGTGTTCCACTGGTACAGTTCCACTTCTAGAGAAGTTCCACTTTACAGGTTTTACTGTATGTTCTTTATTGTATTGTAAATGGTCCCATGTGGTCTTAATAGTCATAGTACAATTTACGTTATATTTGTATCCCTTTCACGATGCATTTACCTTTCTACACT